GGGTTCCATCCCTGGCTTTGAGAGGGAACACAGTGCTGACTTCACAATCTTTCCACAAAGGCCTAACTTGAGCCCCCACTCAACCCACTACCAGCGCAGCCGGGCCCGTTGGTCTGAGACGTCGCAGGTGCCTGACCCCGGGCAGACGGGCCTGTTGGTCTGGTGCTTTGCGGTTGCGATACCAGGTGGATGGGCCCGTTGGTCGGATCTGGGGGTGGGGTAGGGGGGTCCGCACGAGGTGCTCTGCCCCAATGCAGCCACTTCTCCGGGTGTTAAAAAAAAATCCACCACAAAGTCAGTGCCCAGCTTCAAGCCCTCTTTATTAGCAGGGGTGGTGTGTGTGTTGGGGAGGGGAGGGGGGGAGGGCACAGCATGGAGGGTCCTCACGGATGGAGGGGAGACCCTATGGCCATTGTGGGGGGACCCCACTATGGGGTCTGAGCGTCACATGCGGCAGGGACAGTGGGAAAGGCAAAGAAGGGGGCGTGAATGGGGGAGAGGAAAGAGATTCTTCCTTAAGGCTGGTGTGGATGAGACAGGGGAGGGATGGAAGGAAGGAGAGATAAGCAGGGGAAGGACAGAAGGAAGAAGGGACGGAGAGGTGAAGGTGGGGGGAAGAACAGAAGGAAGGAGGAGAGGAAGGAAGGGTGGAAGAGGGCGAGGAGGAGAGATGAAGGGGAAGGGAAGGGTGGAAGGGGAGAGGAGGAGAGATGAAGGGGGGAAGGACAGAAGGAAGGGGGCAAGGAAGAGAGATGAAGGAAGGAAGGAGGGAGGGAAGGGTGGAAGGGGGCAAGGAGGAGAGATGAGGGGGGGAAGGAAGGAGGGAGGGAAGGGTGGAAGGGGGTGAGGAGGAGAGATGAGGGGGGGGAAGGAAGGGGGAAGGGGAGAGGAGGAGAGATGAGGGGGGAAGGACAGAAGGAAGGGGGCAAGGAGAGATGAAGGGGGGAGGAAGGAAGGAAGCGGGGGAAGAGGAGATGAAGGGCTCAGCTCCATGGGGCACTGGTTCAGGACTATGGCCCTGCCCTATGGTTCATCCCCGCCCCGTGGCATTGCAGAGGGTGCATTCTCAGCCCCGGGCAGGCTGGGAGTGGCGAGGGCTCCCCCCCGCCCCCCGGGACCCCTGTCCGGCTGGGGGGGCTCCGATGGGCTGCGGGGGAG